TTTAATCTGCTCATCTTCTATTTTCAGTTGAGAAATTCTCAACTTGAATCCGATGTTTCCCGATTGCCGAGTACGTAAGGCTTAAAAACTCTCTCAGTAAAAGGCCTACCTACCGCGCCAACGCACCTGAAGCGTCATATTGAAGACCCTGTTGTCCTTTCTGAAGACTATGACATTATGTTCTTGAAAGAACATTAACTGAGCAAATCCGTCTTGAACTAAAGTTCTAATAACAATTGGTCATTGAACATGGCAGCAAAGCTATGTATTTTCTTACATCAACAGATCTGTTGGGACTTTTCAACCAATCGCCATCATTTACAGGTGTATAGCCTGCGTCACAGACGTGGCGCGCAGAGAGACTTGTTCTGGGTGCCCAACGGAATCGACGGATTACTGGAAGTGGCTCTTTCAACAGGCCAATCATGGCGCGTACTCCAATCCTGGTACACAGCTAGTGGCCCAGAACAAGGATTTCTGGGCGCTGTTTTGCATGCGTACTTACTCAGAAATAAGTTTTGTCTGTGGCGCAGGCTAGCAGGTGTATGAACTTCGCTTTTCGTGAAAAGCGAGGAAATGGCTAATAAAAGAAGCAACAGCGAAACCAGGGAGAATTTCATAAAATCTGAGCATATCAAGGCTTACCAATGTCGGATGACAATCAGAACGGTTAGTTGTATGCAGCTATTTCGAGAGAGGTTGTCGCAAAAAGTGCACACGACAATCCCGAAAGGTATTGTGGGTGGTTTTGAGTTCACTGTTCTTTCAATAAATTTGAAAGAATGCTACGACAAGCCTTGGACGTTTGTTTGCGTCTGCTAAAGAAAAGCAACAAAAGTAGGTTCGACAGCTACATTGTCAGAAACAGTGTTTGGATCATATCCGATATTATTTTTCGGGATCTTCGCGTGCTCATTTTTCCGACAATCTTCCAAATAGCTGTAGTCACTATTAATGAATTATTTTCTATGGAATATTTTAAAACCCGGTGGTAGCGCTTACATGACTGATAATATATTGTCTTAGAGGGATAATTCCTTGTGTCGACGTGGTAATATCATTTTATATGTACATTTTTTTTTTCAAATGTACTAATTGATATAAATAAAATGCATAATTGCAATTGTGCGTGGAGTCCGAGCACGAAAGCCGAATTTAACAATTCATTAATAGATTTGCAACTCCAAAATGTCACTTTCATAAGTTCAATATTAAAGAACATGCCCGGTTATCAGTATGCGCACAACGATTTTCCGCGTACTATCTTAGTTCACATAATAGGCTGATTTAGCAACAGAACGGGAACGTCAGTTGATGATGGCGCGAGCAATTTAAAAAACTGGCTTGACCAATGGCATAGCAGCAAATTGGGTACCGGAAGTCGTGTTTAGTCCTTTCCGCGCGCTTCCGTGTCGACAACTTACGTTCCCGTCCTGTCTCTAAATCAGCCTAATATATAGCTGAAAATAGTCTCTTTTTTTTTAACTGTGAAAGGCAATTTTTTCAAATTGTCATGGAGCTAAAAACTGATTGATAACAAATTGATCTGATTGGTGTCTTGTCAGGAGAACGCAACCTAAACTGGGTGCGTGAAGCAGAGCCACAAGCATTTAGCAGAAAGGATCTCGACTTATAGGTTAAAAGGTGGCTCGACTGGATTTTTTGAGGGGGATACCTCCCAAGTTTGAGCATTAACCACGTCGCCGTAATTAAAGATATGGGATAAAGGTTACCACAACTGTATTATATAAAGATGAAAATTCTTATGATCTGGGTTTTATTGCAGTCGGAGTCGCCATGGCAACGTAACGACGCCATTACGTTTTTCATTTATCTTTGTTTTTCTCTGTACCAGGAGTTTTTTTAAGAAATCGCTTAAGGGAGTTTGTACCTGCCATAATTGCCTCAATTGTGGAAAAGTTTGAACAAATTCTATGAGAGCGTTTTCGAAATATTTTGAAACGAAGTTTTAAGCGTCATAAAAACAGTGAAATAGCATGCTACCCACACAATTAGCTATTTTTTAAAGAAAATGATAAACTTTGGAAACGCGGTTTCATCTAATAGTGGTTTGATTCTATTGAAAACTACGTACAAAAAAAGAGGAGAATTGCTCTGGGCGATCGCGATTAAGAAGAATTTTATTAACTTGCATTCAGCTGCTTTTGTTACAGTTTTTGCACGTAATTTGGTCCACGCCTACAAATTTCGCATTTTTCAAAAAACCGCTTGATAAATTTTTTTTAAAATTTGACAATCTCGAGATTAATTGCCAATAAATATACCCTGAAAGATTCAAGAACATTGAAAACAGAGAAGCCTATTAAATAGGGCCTCAAATATAACCAATATTTCCCCAGATTTTGTGTTTACAAGTTAGCGTCCTCATTATTCACCGGCATTGTTTTCAAGTTTCATATGCACGTTACGTTGCCATGGCGACTCCGATTCCAATAAAACCCAGATCATAAGAATTTTCTTCTTTATATAATACAGTTGTGGTAACCTTTATCCCATATCTTTAATTACGGCGACGTAGTTAATGCTCAAATTTGGGAGGTATCCCCCTCAAAAAATCCAGTCGAGCCACCTTATAGGTTGGTTCAGGTATCGGAAATACATCATAGACTCCACGGGCAAGGTGCGCGTGCATCTAAAAGCATCAGAATGAGCGCGCATGTTTTTTTTATTCCACGTGCAGCTTTGCTCTTTTTCTATCCAATAAACTTTATTTATCCACGGTAGTTATTAGAGCTGAAAGGTTTATGGAACCGTGCCAAAAAAAAATAAACATAAAACTACTATTATTATCATTGTATAGTAACTTATTTTCCATACTAAAATATTACAAGTATTTTTAAAAAATTAGTATTGAGGTATTTACATCAAATTATAATTATATTTTTCGTCTGCACTGTTCATCTTTTTCGTCAGCTCGTCGTCAGGTCAGCTCTACTCGGTAAGTGTAAACTGAATCCTTTTTGCCTAAATGCGATGTTGTTTGAAAATTTCTTAGGTCTAATACAACGACGCTTGATCAAGACCTTGTTTGCTGCTTCTGACGTGTACAGAAAGTGCGTATCGTCCTGTAGGATGCCATCCCACCACCATGTAATACCCTCTATATCTTAAAACAGCCTTTAAAACCGTTTCTTTTGATTGACAACCCACGAACTCTACCTGTTACACAACTTAATGTGCCAGTTGCGAATTTATTAAAGTTCATCCTTGGATCCAAGGCTGAGCGATATAAAGCAAATCCATTTCTTTTGTTTTATTCCCCTTAGCCTCAGAACCAAGTATCTTCAAAGAGACACCCTGCACCAACCTCAATTGCCATGACCAACATTCGAACGCATTTACTAATCCCTGATTACTGCTAGTATCTTAGTTCACATAATATCAAGCTAAACATAGCCTGTTGTAAAATCAGCTGTTGTGAATACTGTATTCAAATCCTTGATCAAGACAAGATTGATTCGAATACCCAAAAAACATAAGTCGACTAACGTCGTTCGCTCTCCATCTCAATATAACAGGTTTAGCTCTATAAAAAAAGGAAGAAATGCATAAAATTAAGAAAAATACTAATGAAAACCTAGCTCTACAAATTTTTCTATTGCTTGAGAAAGTGAGTAAGGCACGGCTATAATGGAAAAAAGGCTTTTTTTTCGTATATACTTAATTGAATAATTTTAATATAAATACTGTATTTAGCAGAACCCAGTAAATGTAATTAAGGTTTTTGAATTTTATATAATATTTCATGCCTGATGAATTTGTAACACCGAGCATAAATAAAGATTACCTTACTTTACCTTACCCTGGTCACACAAATGTTACTAATGCCAACCCTAGGGACTGACAACTTTTTCCACGAAATTCAAACTCCAACGGAAAATAAACATGCCAGGATCGTAGAAATAGGATAGCAGCAGATATAGAAACCAATGAAGCTTTCCCAGATAAAGAAACGAATCCCGCAGACTTTGACAAACTCGAAGAATATAATCCAAACAGACCGAGAATTTGCTCGCCGAAGCAGCCGGGCCAGATCAACGCGCGGCCAAGAAAATGGAAAAAGTTGTGTTGAATGAGAGCATGTCGGCGAAAATGGCACCTCGTGTTTCCTACCTTGTATATTATTATTGTAGATAGAGTGAATTTAAACAAATTACTGCAAATTATCACGAAACTTCTTTGGAGCAATAAGGACAACAACAATTAACTGCAGAGTAAGTTTTATTGATCTTTATTTAGTATTTCCTAGAAATTTTAGGATGATATTTTTACCCCATACAAACACTGTAATTTTACTGGAACCGTACTGGGGTACTATCACAGAGCCTGGGTTACCTGTGACACATTATTGTGAGATCACTTCGTAAAATTTCATTATGCCACGTTTTATGGAGGACTCTAGGATATGACGATGATTTTCTACCTCTTTCTCAGTGCATATTTTAGGGAGCTTTGGAGCAACTTCAGCAAGTTTTCTAGTTGCCTTCTTTTTATGACATAAAATGTACAAAAACGAACTGCATGTGCACTAGCATGTCACACGCATGTGACGTAGTAATGCTATGACACACTTATGTGACACAGATGTCACAAACAGACTGTATATATTATATATGTACATATATTATTGCATAATTGAGTGTCACCGGTATGATGCGTACCAGCTGGCGTACATGCAGGTTCGTTATGTTGCATCGCTCGTCTTTGAGAAAGCAAAGGACAGCAATTTCATACTATGGGCTCGCCAAAGCCGGGTTGAAATTACTTATAGTTTGAGGGGCAAAGGTTTCTCAAGACGTTTGTCAAACTGAAACCCAGCTGAAACCCAGCAATTCAGTGGGCATGCGTACTCACCGGCAGACAAGGGGTCAGCTCAAGATACAGGATTCGATTACTTGTTAAATTCATTACGAATCACCTTGTTGTTACATGCTTAGTACACACTGATAATCAACGCATAAGGTACCTCAGAGTTTAAGATGGAACGAAAAGGCCTTGGTGGAGAAGATGAAATTTGTAATGAACCGAACGAGAGAGAAACAGATCCGCTTCTTGCTCGTCCTCCCGAGTCGCCTGTAGCGTGTGAGAAGTTCCTGGCTGGGCGAGAGAGACAAAAGCCTAAGAGATGGATCATTCCGGCACAGTTTGCTTTAAAAGTTTCCTTTTGGTCGCTTGGCATGTGGGGACATCGAGTATGGAAATACTTCGCTCAGACCTTCCTTGTCATTGCAGCAATCATTTTCTTTGTTTTCAGCGTAATTTTGATTGCCCGCAGTAGGGATCGGCCATCACAGTTTTGCCCTCCTGATAGCAACTTTACATTGTGTTGTTACCACTACACTGCCGCTGTATTATTTGCGGCTACTATTCCCTTATGTCTGGCTTTCATTGCCTGTCACATAATAGGTAAAAGCTCAACGTCGGCTTTGGTATGTCCTCCACAGTTCTTGATTGAGGAAACGCACAAATCTGTCATTTTTATGTCATTTCTGGCTTTCCTCGCCATGAATGCAGTGTTCAGCGTCAAGGTCTCTTATACCGTGTCCGTACTCAATTTTACGGCCGGACCCAATGCCAGTTCAAGCCATAATGACTCCTTACCCTGGTCTGCTAAAGTTTTTATGGTAGTTCTCTCAGCGGAATCCCTCTTTTCTTGGCTTCTGCTCAACATCTGTCACGTTTTCGCTGCCATTTGCATAGTACTCGGTAGGTTAACTTGCCCAACTGGGTTATCCTCCCTCACTCCTCAGTATTGGTTTCCCTGGAGAAAATCCGCACAATTAATAAAAGACCTACCGACATACTGCCGGGGGATAACCCTGCGATGCAATAGCTTCCCATGGGCGGGAGAGGGCAATAATACCAGGCATACTTCATGCTAAGGAAATTGGAGTTAATCTCCAGCCGTTTGTGGACTTTGGGCCTTTGGCTCGTGGGAACCTTTACCTTACCTTAAGTCAAGTGGCTAGTTAGTTAGGCACATAGCCAGCTACATCGCAAAGCCACTTACACACAAATCGTCAAATCGTCTTACAGGAATAATTCCTGACGCATTTAAGACAACTTTGGTCAAATCAGTATATAAGGCAAATGATAAAGAAAAAAAATCAAATTAGAGACCAGTTATCGACCAATTTCAGTGTTACCGTGTCTTTCAAAAGCCTAGAAAAAATTGTTTTTGCGAAAGAATAGTTAGGTCACTAAAAAAAGAACAATTGACATCTTATTCAAAAGCCAACATCAAGGCTTAGAGCTTGACATTGAACCCAGCGTTTCAATCTCTATCATTTATATTTATTGTCACATAGTATAAGTCAAGAACACTGCACGTTAGTTCAATCCCAGTTGACTAATATTATTATAAGACTCCGGTTTTTAATGAATAATACTCAAACAAGAGCTCTCTTTGTTAAAAACTGCCATTGGCCCACACCAGTTTGCCTACAGGAAAGGCTGTAACACAACCACGGCGCTCCTTACTTGTCATCACCATTGGTTAAAATGGTTGGACGGGGCAACAGACTTCGTACGTGTTTTCTCCTTCGACTTTCGCAAAGCTTTTGACAGTGTTCCCGACACGCTATTGTTTGGAATAAGCTAAGGTCACTCAATATCAATCCTTACTGGTGATCAACTGGATCGTCAGCTTTCTTAGTCGCAGGAAACAGAAAGTAGTCGTGGATGGCTTTGTCACCAGTTTGTTAGTATCAGCAGAGGGGTACCGCAAGGCACAATTCTCGGGCCTGTATTTTTTTCTTTCATTGTATACAACAGCAGATCAAGAGTCACTCTTCCACTGAGGTTAATAGTATCGAAAACTGGGTTGTAAAAACCTATGATTTAAACCTCAAAAGACCTGGTAGATGGTAGTAGTACTTGACATGATTTCTAAACCAATTTCGGGCCACCCTTGGTAAAAGGGATTTAACAGAAAAGCTGGTTGAAACTGCTTGGCATAATTTTTGAGGAGAATCCATCGGACTGGGACCATGTTGATCTTGACAACTTGTTATGCAAAGCTAGTAGCCGTTTATACATTTTACGCTTCAGTGATTTTGGATACCCTAAAGATCAACTGACAAAATTATTTGATCTGTAAATTATGCCCCTGTTTTTAAACGGGATCGAAATTTGGGGTGCTGCATGCCTTTCAATGCAATTATCATGATATTGACAATTTTTTAAACGTGCCTTTAGGTTCGGATATACAAATAACTTATATATTACGCAATGAATGAGGTTGTTAGAAATCGGGACTGCAAGTTATGAAAAACTATTACAGAGAATCCCTATTCGGACTGTTTCCCCCTAAGAGACAGAGATCTTTGAGAGATCGAGGGCATACTTTTATTTCACCTGCAGTCAAAAGGGAACTTTTAAAAGATTTTTTTAACAGATGTCTCTTTCAATTTGTCTTATTGTAATTGATTAGCTAATACAACCATATTGTGTAAAGCCACACATATGTTGTGACTCTATTTGTTGTGAATAAGGACTCTTATTATTATTATTATTATTATTATTATTATTATAGATATTGTTCTTACCCACCCTCGAACTTAAAATTTATATCTTGCTGTCACTCTAACTTGCTCTCTTGATTATTTCAGGTACCTTTGCAGAAGACACTTTCAGACTCATCCGGGACCCTCAAAACAAAACACTAGATGACGTCATCAGAATTCATGAAGACTTTTGTATCGTAGTTTTTAGCACTGCGTCAGTCTACAGTGTTTGGTTTTTGCTGTACTTGATTACTTATAGCGTAGGCTACATTATTCTCTCGACAAAGTTTTTTCTAGACATGAATCGACCTCTCTCAGAATTCAAGATGGGATTGATTCTTAATGGTCTTGAGCTGCTATTTGTCTTTTATATTTTTGTAACCCCGTTTATATTTGCCGCAAGGATCTCAAGCGATTGTGCAGGTAAGATACTGCTTTCTTTAAATTCCTATAAAGGAAAGCAACGCCCGCATTCGGCTTAATAGAATCAATGAGAAATTGAATAGCGAGCAAGTGCGTTGTTCATTATATTTCCTGGCAAAGTCTCTAACAGAAAGTCGAAATAAGTTTTGTTTATTTATTTATAAGTGTAACGGTTATCCAAACACCGTGGAGTCAATGTAAAGTTGAACTCCTTTAAGTCTTCTTAGAATGCTTTTGAAATGTCATAATAAACCAATAAAATGATTCAGGTGAGCTAAATTCAAAAACTTCCAAGATCTAACATTTACGTAGCATGGTAATGCTAAACAAAAATTAAAAAATTAAAAAAACCTATAGTATGTCTAGCCAAAGTTTTGAAAACGTTACCGCCAAATGGACCTTTTTTGTCCAACAGCTTTTCTTTTTCGGCCAAAAACTATCTCCAAAGTAGCCATTATAAAAACTAAGAGTGCATGCATGCAACCGTTGCTTTTGTCCCCTTCTTCTCCTTTCTTCCTCCTGGCTCTTTCTTGTTCTCCTTCCCTTTTCCTATGTCAGTGTGATTTTGGATCTTATTCTAGCCCACTGATAACCTACCTTTTGACGCCTTTTCACTCATAAGTGACTGGAAATTTCCATAGGTTGGTTTTCAAAAAATCGGCTAGATGTATATTACGCCTATTATATATACTGGATCTATTTCTAAGGCGCGACACTTGAATCTTTGTACAAAGCAAGGACACCGAGCCAGAAGAATGTCAAATGGTCAAAATGTTTATTATAAGTGTTAAAGAGGCGGCGATAACCAACTGATGTACACTAATTTTTATTTTGTTCATCTCGTTTCGGAATAGCCTGCGACAGTCATGCAGACGTAATTTAAGGCCGGTTAGTCTGCGAAGCAGCGCCGATGCCCTTGTTCTGTGAATGTGTTTCGAATTTTCCTTCAGTCTGATGGGCAAATCGACGATAAGATTTTTAAAAGGCCAATCATGAAGCGTACTTTTTCGCAGACGGACTTAACCAAAATTTTAGTTCCGTCTGTGACACAGGCTAATTTCTGAACGCTAGCGGTGTTAACTGAATGGATACAAAGAATTATATGGAGTACAGTTGCACTTTGCTAACCCTATTCAGACGGGCATTTTTTTGCCACAAGTGACGGCCACCAAAATATTGCATTAATAAATTCCCCACATTTCCAGCATCTAGGCATAACTGTGATCGACACCATGACGTTATTTCACAACTATGAAGTTATATTGTCGATCCAAATTCCTCTAGAAGTGCCACAAAGCGAAAAATACTTAAATGCTAAGGTGTCCGATGAAATGAAGGAGTTGCTAAGGCCCTGTTCGCATTAAGTAAAGTTTGTTTGTTTTGCAAAAAAAAAAAAACTGTCAAGAAGAATTAATCCATTGCCAGCGCGAACGATTTTTTTCACCGACTAAAGTTTTCTCAACTGTCCCCAAAGCTCAAAGATGCCGTCGAGGAGATTTGGAGGTCTACATTTTTTTGTCAGGTAACAAACTCCTTTGTTCCTTGACAGCGATCCTTCGTCGGGCCATCTTATTTCACAAGCGTAGCCAATCATTAAAAGCTCCTTTAATTGACGTTTCTAGTTAGACGAAAAACTTCACAGATGCGAACAAGGTTGCAAAAACAAAAAAATTGGTGTGTACAAAATTTCCACTTTTTTTTACAGACGCCAAAGTATTTTTTTTCTTTTCTAATAGTACGGTGCGAACAGAACCCAACAGACATACATAATTTTTTTGTGTGTGGAGTCACTTGCTTGTCACAAGACGTAAAAAAATCGTTGCATCGACTTATCTGGCACCCAACAATGCACGATGCCTCTATCTAATACTTAGTACCTTTCATTTTTCGCCTTCTAACGTGCTGTCTTTCTTTCTCTTTATTTCGAAGAAGTCTACGAGAAAGTCAACTGTTCCACTTCTGATGACTGGAATGAAGGCCATCCATTTAAAGATCGAAACAACATCTCCTTGTTCGTCTCCTACGCTAAAAAGAGGCAATGCGGATTTAGACTTGGAAGAATCACGTTCGGCGATTCTCTAGCCTGGGTGTCTTTTCTCTTTGGAGTTACAGGTGTTCTATTGCCACTAATCCAAGATGGAAGTTCCACTTAGCTCTGGTGAGAAACGTTCGTTCTACACTATACTAGCCCAATAAACATAAAGACCTGGTGTACGGTGGGTCATCAGTCCAGAGCTTTTCCACTTTTGGAAATGTTTTGATCCGCGACCAAAATAAACAATTACCCCATCACGGTGCAAATTTGGAGTCATGTGACGCGAGGCTTGTTTTCATGAAAGTTATCTATTGACAGTCAAGAGTCAAGAGTAGTGAAGCGTAGCTAAGCCTCTTTTCTCGAAGCCTAATATTCTTTCTCTCCATTCACTTTATAAATTTCATGTTTCTTGTTTTGTATTCTCACACTTTAATCACCTTTTACCTGCCTCTCTTTCCTCCCTCCTCCGCTTTAATCGTGATTTTCATGATCATCTAACTCGTTCTCGTTTCAACTTGCATAAAATGTCCCTCAGGTATCAATTTGCGATTAGTTCTCAAGCCCCGACTATTTGGAACGATATCCCCTTGACTGTTCGTGACAGCCTTACCACTAGTAACTTCAAAAAGAAACTAAAACTTCACTTTTTAAGCCTAAATTGAACTAGCACAGGATTCTCAGAGCTTATTGTTAGTTTATTTGTCACTAGTTATGGACTATTATAGGACTGTTATAGGACTGCATGCATGTAAACTTGTTTANATCAATTTGCGATTAGTTCTCAAGCCCCGACTATTTGGAACGATATCCCCTTGACTGTTCGTGACAGCCTTACCACTAGTAACTTCAAAAAGAAACTAAAACTTCACTTTTTAAGCCTAAATTGAACTAGCACAGGATTCTCAGAGCTTATTGTTAGTTTATTTGTCACTAGTTATGGACTGTTATAGGACTGTTATAGGACTGCATGCATGTAAACTTGTTTAATTTCAGCTTTGTATCTTGTTTTAGTTTTGTAGTTTAGCCTACAGTCTTCATTTCTATATAAAATAATTTCTGTCATTCTGACCACAGGCCGTATAAGCCCCCGGCTTCGGCTTTACTGAGTTTGTACTATATGAGCGATGGAATAATAAAGTTAAAGTTAAGCATACGCGATGAAAAAAAAATCAGATATGAAAAGAAGTTATAAACCCTTCTATTACTCGTTGGGATAAACCATTTGCAGGAAAAGCGAAATGGGACGTGTGCATGGACTAAATAGCGATATAGCGGGCCGATCATCGGAGCTTCTATCTGTACTGTCCACGCTGAGTTATTTCACGCCCTAGGCTCGGTAACCAGGAAGGATATCCTGTTTCAGTTTAAGGAAACCAAAATTTGTAAAGGAAACAACAGTCTAATCGTATTTTTTCACTGGTCGGGATAAACTGTTTCCAGACATAGGGGGATTTCGGTCGCGGCGAAGCCGATTTACTTTGGGCCTAGCCTGACAAAACTTACTAGGGATTTATTACGTCTTTCCTCCTCATTAGAGAAAAAGTATTCTCGAATTTTTTTTCGCTACTTATCGCGAAATTAAGTCTCGCCCGCAGAATCGTTTTTTTCGTTTTCCGGCTTTTACTTAGGAGCCCGCAAAAATGAGTAATTATAAAGTAACTGATATATGATTGTATGATTGTATGTAGTGCTTGTAATTTCAAGCCTCGTGAGGTTCTGCGATACGCGTATTTCTAGTAATAAAGTAATATGTAGTGATGGAAATTGGCGCTCTTAAAACCCTTGTATGTGGTGGGACCCAAATCAATCACTATTTGATCTAATCTCCCTCCTTAAACGCGGTAGCTGGCGTAGCACGGCGGTTTTGGTTTTGCACGCAAAGTAATAAAGGCGGGCGAAGGCAGAGAAATCGCGAGGAGATTGGGGCGAAAGCATGCGCCCCGAGAAAACCGCCATGCTAGGCAGGCTATAGATCATGCGAAGAATATTTGCAAACCTTAGAAGGTCATACCCATTGACCATTCTCTTGCACAAAGCATAAATGTTTCTGAAAACAAGTCGTTTTCTATGACTTATCGTGCCCAAAGCAAGTAGTTCGCATCTAAAGATAATCTGAAGATTGCGTTTTAATGCCTCGTGGTTATCCGGAATCACCTCAAATCAGATATTTACAAAGTAGCCATCAATCCATCTATTAAAGAGACTACTTCATACCATATAAAAAGTGTCTTCGCGTTAATTGAATTGTGTAGTTCCAGAAAGTATTCGTCCCCCCCCCCAAAAAAGGGCATTTGTGGTTTAGACCCTCCCTCCCCCTGGAATTTCCAGGGGTGCGCTTGTGATACCTCCCCTACCCATCTAGAATTTCCGTGATATTTTTTTTTATCTTAGTTAAGTATCCCTGGAGAGAATACTTTCGTCGAAACTGCTGTTGCACTATACTATAATGGGAAATGTACTTTTTTTTTGAGACTGAAAGGCCAAAAAAAAAAATCGTTCTACTCATGTTACAAGAAGGAGTCCAAAAGTCTGCCCTCATTTAATTATTAGCGCTGAAGGCTCCTGACTTTTATAAGTCATTTTTTTTGGTATAAGCACACCTTAGTTCTCTTGATGCTTATGTGTAGTTTTTCGCTTCTTTCGCTTTTTTTTTTTCTTGTTTATTCTTGCATTTTTTTTCTCACCTTTCCTTTTTCGGTTTTGCACTTTAATTACATGTACACGTTCAGCCTTGTCTATTTTTATCTTAATAGGCCATTTGCACGATGGCGTCATTTTACTAGTACGACCAGAATCCTTTTCGTTTTTCCTTTCATATTTAAATTTTGTAATCCCAGTGAGGTTTGAATAACAAAAGCCCTAATTAGCACAAGAGAGCAAAACCCTGAAGGATTCTGGTCGTAGTAGTAAAATGATGTCATCGTGCAATTGGCCTATTAATGATCATTATCTATGCTCTAAAGAAATTGTGCGTGCTAAGAGTTAAATTGTCTTGCCGATGTCATTATTTTATTATAAGGTGGTCCTATTCACAAGCCCTATTGGCTTCGTTGAGCTCCTTTGCCTCACTTTTTGAAATTTTATACGTATATTTTGTTCGTATGGAAAAGTGATGATAATGAAACAATCAGTAAAGTAAAGTTCTAACAAATTGCGGCATGTATTGCAAATTACGACGGTTATTTCAAATTACGACAATTATTAAAAATTACGACAGAACATATTCAAACTAAACATCGAGTGAACTTCTTTCAGTTAAAACATGTTTTAGAACAAGACTTGGAACACGACCACATTACCGTGAATACCACAATCGTGAAAAAAAGCAACAGCTAGATAACCGGAAGTTCATGCAAGAGCGGATGACCATTGTATTAAAAGACTATTCCGTAAGCCGTGAAAAAAAACATTCAGCCAAGTGATTAAAAGTGATTAAAGGGTCGTCAATGAAAACAACAATCTTGTTTTGAAACACCACTTAACAGTAAAATAACTGATGGTTTGCGCAACAGAGCAGCTGCTAGTTGAAATAACTCACTGATCTTTCTTGGAGCCCCCGAAGAAAAAAAAAACAAAATGACACCCCCACCCTCTCGAAAAATGCCTCCTTTTGGACCCCTCTCTTCCCCTAAGGAAGATGCTAATTTAACTGTAAATTTATGTTGAACGATCTCCTTCTTTTTTTGAAGGAATCTACGAGGAAATAAACCACTCGACGTCAGATGATTGGAATGAAGGTCACCCCTTCAAGGCCGGATCGTCACAACATCGCCCTATTTGTTTCGTATGCTTAAGAGAGACGTTGTGGTTTTTAGATGGCAGTAAAATCCTTTTCAATGCCTCCCTATCCTGGATGTCCTTTAGTACCTCTTTGGCTTAACAGGTTTACATGTATAACCCAAAATTTTATAAGGTTAACTCAAAGAACATATTACTAAAAAAACTTCTTCGAATAGTTTTTAAGTCTCATTTTTTTGGCAAAAGCCCCTTCCAGTAATTACGAAATTAGAAGGCTCATATGGGACGTCTTAAGACAATAATTCAGCAAATGAAAAACGGGATTTATGTCATTACCTATCCGTCTCTTAGGATCCCCATTGTTGCAACGCATCATATTGGCCAAACCCAACCTCGTCCCCAGGGTCTTCTCGCTTTCCAATATGGCGGCGGCAGCTGGAGAGAAGATACATGTGTAACCCGGAAACATTGTAAACAGGGTATCGAAAGCCAACTAAAAAGTCTAAACACTATAAAGTAGATGAAGACTGACAATAGTTTATTGTACCAGATCAAGTGAAAAAATATCCAAACTGAATAAGGAACTGTTTTTCATGTTATTACAACCAAAGTTTCCCAAAATTGTAACAAAATAGTGTTCCTGGTTCTTGTTTTCAGAAAAACATTTTTTTACAGAGTTCAGTCAAAATGTGTGCAGATAGAAAAACAATGGTCAGAAACCTTTATAAAGGCCTGTAACATAACTGACGATAATTTATAAAAGCTTTTCTCTGCGAATCAATAAATTCTCAGGTGAAATTCGGAGGGCAGAGTTTTAGAGCGTCATGACAAAAAATTCCCTGGCTTCAGAGGTCCGTTCTCGAAATTCTTAGCATGAAATAAATTGCGCTCACGGTTAGAAAAGGCTCCCCCTTTCACGAAAGAAGAAAACTGAACCTTTGACACTCAGGGTAAGCAAAAAAAAGAAAACAGTGAAAAGAGTCCGGCGTCGAGAAATTAAGTTGTAGACAGTTGTAAAGTGCCGTGTACGCTTGAACGTTTAAGCTTAAAACAAATGAAGGTCATGGAACAGAAAATGAGATATATCATTCTACCGTATTCCTGTAGCCTTTAAGTGCATTCTTGCATATTTGTAGCTTCTTCCGAGTTTGCCTTTGCCGCCATTTTGTTTGTTTTTCACCAGTCTCAAGACCTTGTACCCAGATCCTCTCACTCTTTATCTTGGCCACCATTTTGAATAAATTTCCACTCTCCGTGATGAATCGGTCACGTGATCTGTGCTGTGTGCCAGGGTCTTCTCTCCTGCCGCCGCCATATTGCAAAGCGAGAAGACCCTGGGGACGAGGCTGCTCCACACCTGTTAACTTGTATCAGAAACTCACAAGGGGTTGGAACGTGTAACTCGCGTTCAATGCTCGTGAATGTTCTTTTTTACCATATTTAGAAACGTTAGTGAAGGATATCCATTTTCAGCGAACTGAAATAGCTGCCGCTCGATCACCATGCAGTGGTTCTAAGACCAGCGTTCTGCATTTCAAGGTTAAAAATACGCCGTTACAACTGAAAGACAAAAGATGGAGAAAAAAAGTTCAAAAGAAGTTCAGTTTTCTTTTTGTGGGGGAATGGAAGCTTTTCATCAAGAAATCGTCTGTTTTGAAATGCAACCAAGGCAGTGAAGTTTTTGCTGAATTTTCAGGTACATTTTGTACTCTATGGTCAAGAAAACTACGTTTTTGAAAGGGAATTTATGTATTTATAAATGTTTCAGAGACGTTTCATACATTTTTTCTTCGGCCCTAAAGAAAAATTACAAAATGCGCCCCGATTTGAGATGGATTTTGCGTTGAATTTTCGCTCTGTGCTCAGCCGATTTTACCACAGGTAGCCCAAGGTCAAAATATGAGAATCGAGCATCGGCGAAAATCGGCATTGTTACGTAACATTCGAAATAATAATAATAATAATAATAATAATATTTTTTATTTGGTATTGCGCAAATTAACATATATCAAATGATCAAATGCGCATTACAAACTATTAAAGCTAACTAAAAATATATTAATTATCGAATTAAACATGAATATATCCGTAAATGACACCTAACTTAATTATTTAGTACTTAACCTATTACTTACAATAATCATAACTAAAAGAAATGTTATATTTTTCATTAAAACTGATAAAAAAAGAGAGTAAAATTAGTACACCTATGTACAATTAAAAATTGTATGCAAGTTTAAAATAATAAGTCTTTAGCTGTTTCTTAAAAGCATAATAGTTGTCCTGTTTCGTAATGTCCTTCGGTAAAATGTTCCAGATGCTAGGGGCGGCTACTTTGAAAGTCCTGTCTCCAAGTGTCTTCTTTGATCGTGCACTATAATCCTCGAGTAACATCTCCCCGTCCGATCTAAGATTATATCTGGTGGTACTCTTAACTTGTATTAGATCCTTAAGGTATTCGGGTGCGTTGCCATAGATACACTTATGAGCAAGTATTGCTATCTTAAAATTTACCCTATACGTTACTGGAAGCCAAAGTAAACTAGCAAGTGTAGGAGTAATGTGATCATACTTTGCGACGTTACTAACAAGGCGAGCTGCTGCATTTTGTAAACGCTGTAATTTGCTTAGCTGGGTAGATGGAACACCAAGCAAGAGGCTATTACAATAATCTATACGTGACATTATAACTGCTTGAACTATAGACTTCCTGTCATCATAACTCAAATACCTGCTAATGCGTTTAATGTTATACAGATGATAAATAGCAGCTTGGCACGTTTCATTTATGTGTGCAGACATGACATGGTGAGGTTCGTATCAAGCCACGTCCCGAGGTTCCTAACAGTCGTTACAGCTGTGTCATTGTGTGCCAATAATCAGAAAATATGAGGATTTGTTTGGGATAAAAACCTATCGTTTCTGTAACCTACGAAAATGAAAGGATTTCAATAAAAAAACAGCTTAACTTACTTAAAATGTGAGTTACGTCTCTCCTGTGTAGCCCACGGGCCGATTTATAGCCGTTTTACGGGTTTTTTTTGTAAACGGTTTTCTCTCTCTATATAACTCGGGTTTACCAGGTAGACCTTATATATAGAGAGAAAATCGTTTTCAGGTTCAGTTTTTAGACACTTTTCTTTACGCAGATAATGGATTTTATTCGAAAATATGTTTAACTGTTAATTCTAGACTTTTAATATGAGAATTTTAAAAGCCTATTTGCAGTATAGTTTTGCAGTTTAGCGTTTTTTGAAGCGACCGACGTCAATGGATTTCATAATGTCGAGTTTTGCCCGGGTGGTAAGCCAATTTCCTGCTCAGTATTTCGGTAAGCTTCCAGGTTTTAACCTTTGAAAGCTTACTCGGCTGTCGGGAGTTTTTCCCCCGTTTTTCGGCCATTTTTTCAAGCGGGCACGAGAACGTGAAGTAAAATTACGTCACGTCGTTTACGAAGTTTTGTTGGTCAGTTATCTTTTCTTCTCGTTTCAAATATGGTACTTTCGAAAATGAATAATCACGAGCATCGAACAAGGCAAACATATGAGAGTTACACGTTTCAACCCCTTATGAGTTGCTGCTTGTATCTAAAGTCAGGTGTTCCTCAATTTACGTCATGGTTTGATTTCTGAGAGGCCGGCTTTCAAGGGACGAATAAAGCAAATGGAGTGCAAAAAATTGCAGTAAATTTAAACGTTTCTTTAAAAAAACTAAAAAAATCACGTTTCTTGAAACAGGAGCCCCCTTTTTTTTCGCACAGGTTCTCGAAGCAATGTGAAGTCAACTTTTCATTGATAATAATAATAATATAAATGAATAAATACAAAATCTTTAAAGAAGATTACTACTAACTGTTTGACAAAGGTTAGTGTTTAGCCTGCATTCAAGGCCCCTACTATCCGCCGCTTGCTCGAAGGCTAAAGAAATGGAATACGCTGAACAAAAACGGGGAGGATTATTCATCTTGGTTTGACTTTTATTGAGCTAAATATCCTCCGCACAGGCCTATTTGTGTTAACAGAAGGTTAGGTTGAGAGGAACTAAGAAAATGTGCAAGGGACGGCGGGAAGGGAAAAGAAAAAGGGAGAAGGGGCGCTTTCCAATGATGTGGGTAAACCGGTCAGGTCACTATTTGTCCAAATGGTAAATTTCATTCCGGAATCGCGTTTACTGTTCATAGAATCAGTTCCATTTACCGAAATACTGTCGCGTCAAAGTCTGAAACTGTTCTTAAAGATGGGTTTGAACAAATGGAACAAGAATTTCCGTTTGGACCATTCCGTCCGGGTCAGCCGGATGTCCTTTCCTGTAGCAAGTTCCGTTGCTACCGGAAATTTTACATTGGAACGACCCGAAAACTAGTTGTCCATTTACATCTCAACCGGAATTTCTGAAATCTGTTGGAAAATGAAAAGCGCCCAAGATTTCACCCTCAAGCTTTTCCATGCATCGTCCTCCCGGCCAGGCGGTGGTTATTATGATGATTTGATTTTAATAGTTCAGAAAACCAGTAGGACCTTCTGTCTACAGGAGACTATTTCATCAGACGTAGGCTGCATAAATATTGTTATGAAGTAGTTTTGTGGTTGTTTTTGACATTATTCTCATAAGGGTTTTTGATGACAGTTCTGTTTGTTCTTCTCGTGGTTTAAGTTTCGTTATGTTTGATTTTGAAGATCAAGGTTAACTAATATATGTGTTAACAGGTTTTTGAGTGTTGTTACCTTTTTAATGGGTTTGTCGACCGAACTGTCACCAAGCTTGGAGCTTAATTAAGTTTGATTGTCAGTTTTTAAGTGGGTACGTTTTGGGGCCATCGCTGACCTTGATTATTACCTACATTGAAGTTCCTGTTTTGGTTTAAGGTTTAGCTTCGTGGATTTAGCTGTCGAGCTTTCATTGGTTTTCTTGTAGGATTTTTTATTCCACTTGTGTTATCAACGGAAAATTAATTATAGTCATTCGGAATAGCGTTCGTAACTCTCATGATCAGCAAGCCTAAACCGTACCTACGTTATGCTTATATAAGTTGGATGGTTAGTAGAGAGCGAAGATTAGCTGTTGTAATTAAGAAGCTGAGCTGAAGAAGCTTGTGTTGCCGTCAGTAATTAAAAGGAAGAAAAGTATCAAAGCTTTGTCATGATCAGAGTCTTGGACTCCTCTCGCTAGAAGAGCTCTCCCCGTCGAAGAAACCCCTAACAATATATTGCATTTATGAAATCCTTGTACGTAGTGGCGTCTGAATCAATCACAAAATAATGTCAACGCTAGTTTTTGTTGTATAATTGTTTTTTAATTTGTTATTGCTATTGCTGGTTTTACACCGAATGTATAGTATAAATTATAATTGTCAAAAAGACAACTACAGGGACTGATCAAACAATGTTTAAAGACTGCAGTTACGATATTTCGACTGGCCAATAGTCCAGTTTCGAGTTCGCTATGACCGCTGAATTAAAGAAGTGAAGACGCATTCTTTACAGGCTTAGCCCCCATCTGAGGTCATACATTCAAAAATTCCAAAGAGAAAAAGACCTGTTTATTACTCTGTCTATTGTGTATAGTCAAATTTCGAACAGACTTACTTGCCGGAATTTCTGAATATTTTACTTTAAGTCGCGGCTAACCCTGTATGAATGCGTCGTTAATGTTTGTATTCAGCGATAATTTCTGATTCGAAACTGGACTATTCCACTGTCTTCATCAGGTTTATTAAGACGATCATGCCCGAATTTAAGGATATATGCATGTAGTACTGCAATGGGCCGAAGTGGCGTAGTAAAGCGTTTCTACTTAGAAAAATATAAGATAACAGAAAAACAAATAACGATATCAGTATTATATAGACACCGATGAAATACCAGGATTTTTCCAGTGACGAAAATTTGGTATCCAGTGAAGATACAATTTTTATCCTTCACTTGTGAAGTTATCACGGTTGTCATGGCCACTTCAGTCTCAGCCAATAGGAAAATAGCACAACAGCATCTCGCAATCGGTCTATACATAATAAACAGAATATTACATGCCCGCTTCTGGATACGAATTTTATCCTAGTCTCATGTTCAACTCGATATCTCAGCGATATATAGTTGAACACTCGAAGATAAAATTTGTATCCACAAGCGGACATGTAATATCCTCTATATAGTAAATATAACTGCAAATTATAGGTCATTACGTCTGTTAATGCCCTAAGGCTCAAGGGGCCTACTTTTATGCAAAAGTAAAAGTGTGTTTCGCGTGCCTTCCTGATAGATTCTCTTCCATTCTCAAGTTTTAATAGGGATGATCAACAGTCTATGGGTGTTCTGTATGGATATAACTGCCATTAGGGTTAATTAAGTACTGTTCGCCTGTAATCATTGAAACGGTCTTTGAGGCGACGTTTGTCAAGATTGATTTCGGTCGTTTTCAATGTAGGGACAGATGGTACGACTCCTGCTATTGCACGGGAAAGAACCGGAAACAGTCAGCGAGTGAGCTTCTGTTCGCTGGGCTCTAACAAGGCTGTCAGCAATTTTTTTTTCTGAATGTATAGTTATGTGTTAAGCACACTGCAGAGGTACTGGTATACATTTTAGACCGAAAATCCCTGTTTTGTTTTTTGCACTGTTTTGTTTCAATTCACTGATTGGGTTAAAATTTTTTAGTCTGTTGAAACTAATTTGCCTCCTTAAAAACACGGGAATGGAAACTAATATTTTCCAACCTTTCATTTATGCCTCTTTAAAAAGTAATTGTCACCAACCATTCTCACTCAAGCGGAACAAAATTGTTTGAAACAAGTCGTTTCATTTCCATAGCAACAGGGGCATGTAGATGTTCATAAAGGGAAAATAGTACTTACTTTAAAAAGATAATTAAGAAGGAAAATCGCGTTTAAATCTTTTTTGGCGAATCTGAATCACCTCAAATCGTATGCCCACATGTTAAGTTAAACCATCAATTGGAATAAGACAGTTTTGCTGCAGCTTACTTTTGCTTTTGCTATTGGAGTATTCATACACGTTCACTGCGGCTTTGCCCCAGGCAAATTATGATGTGGATGCGTTGATGATCATTGTTTACCCTTTGCTTTTTAACACTTGGTAATTTATTTATCACTGTTAAACTTCCTTTCACCCTTTTAGTGAAAGAAACGGTTGCCTCTATTTACCTAGGTACTACTAGAGTAATTTGTTTTCCACAGAGGCACTGGCTAGGGGCAAAGACCTTCGTTCTTATTTATGGTTTCGCTATGTTTGCTTGAGTTGTCATGGTTCATACTACCAAGAATTGACGGTGTTTCCGCACTCGTCAATCAATTTAAGAGTGATTTTCTATAAAATTCGAACTTCGGCCTGACACGGTACCTCATCGATTTGGCTGATTTTTGGCATGTAGTCTTAGAATGGTGTCCTAAATACTGAATGCATATTCTAAGGTTCGAATTCTCGTTGGTTTCAAAGATACAGGAATGACAGTTTTGACGAGGCCTCGAGCGGCCGCCATGTTGGTGAACTGAAGGAGATTTACAGTAATTAATTCTAGCCTTATCATTAAAATAACTTAATCGTGACTCATACAGTTGCAAAGAACTATCCTTCCTCCTTTCATTTACCTACTCTTATCTGAAAATGGTTAAGCCTGAGCTACGAACGGCTATAACTTCTCACAGCACTTTTTCGGTACTTAAAAGGTACACAAATTTGGTAGAAATTGGAAGGCCAATATCACCCATGCCACATCGATTTAGACTAAGCCATTTTAACTAAACATAGTTTGTTTATAGCTAAGTTAGATTGTTGAATAAAATAATTGGGCAAATGCAACGGA